AAAGGAAGGTAGGTTGAACAGCCGACGACACTTGTCAGAACCACCTTAAACTACCTCACACACACAGCACTGGCATGCATAAGAATATGATGTAAACTTGTTTTTTAAAAGGCATCTTTGATTTGTGTTAAAACAACTTCAACACACGCAGTGTTCTGATTGCTCCACAAACGCAGTAGTCATCCTTACCTTTCACAGAGGCACTGAGTTTTATAAATAGGAGCATGATAGTGTAGAATAATCATATCCAAGGACCAGTGGTGGGTTTCAAAAATTTTTGAAATTTTCAAAAATATAGCTGGCTGGGGAATTCTGGGAGTTGAAGTCCACAGGACTTAAAGTCGCCAAGGTTGAGAAACACTGATTTAGTATTTGAAACATACGGGTGCATGCATAATCACACACAGAGACACCCCTACAGAACTGTAAAAAGAAACTGACAGGCTTCTGTTTTAAAATTGTAATCCAGAGAAGTAATCAAATTCCTTTTCAACTTGAGGAAAGCATCTAATAGCTCACAATATTACATTTTCTTTTTCAGAGACCTGCCACTTTCTTTTTTTAGACTGGCTGAGTATTTCGTAGCACTCCATTGAAACCATATAGTTAAACCGAGGGACTCCATTTCCAAATGTAATACAGAACTCATCTAAAAATAATAATAATAAAGCCCTTTTTCCTTTTTTCGTCAGGAAAATAATCAGTGAAACACATTGGTCGTTTTTTTTCCCCACTCTCCCCTCCTCTCCAGGGGCCAGTCACATATTATTTCTGCTAAGTATCTATTTCTGTGTCAGTATTTTGAATTTCTTTCAGGCTGTGGAATCCTATAGGGGAGAACTAAAATAATAATAATAATGGGTGAGGCTGGGAAAAGGTTAGAGGGAGGTTAGATGGAGAAAACTGCTATCCCTCCTCCCCTTTTAAACTTGTCAAACCTAGTGTCTCTATCTGTAAACTATGCTGGAATTGGGGCCAAACAATTGTATTTGTTGTTGCAGATTTTTTTTGGAAATTGTTTTTATTTACTGTTTGCTACCCAGAATCACCACCATGAGATGGGTGGCCTTGAGTGATTAAAGTGATTTAAAAAAAAACTGCATATAAATGGAGTTTGTGATATAACACGACATTATTCCTATTTGGGGGAGGAAAAAAGCAATATCTCTAACCATCTCTAAGCTATAATTAGGATCCCTGCTTGAAACCTTCATAAACAGACATTGCCATACATAATAGATTATGCTTTAGAAAGTACTTCCTGATACTCATTATAAATGAAATGACATCTTAAGTTCCTTTTCCAGGTGTCCTTCCTTTCCTATCCTATCCTTTCCCTTCCCTCCTTTTGGGGAAGCTTTCCAATATATGAAACCTGTTATCATCTCCTCCCATCTTACATCCAACTTAGTCTTAATTTTTAACATTAATGATGCGTAATGTCTCCCGCTTACCACTCCAGTAATTTTATTACTTCATTTTCTAAAACTTGAAAAGATAACTTACCTGCAGTTTTCAAAACAAGAGAGATACATGGAGAAAGGAAGAAGGATTTCCTTTGCTTCCCTGCCTAGGTCTTGTGTTATTCCTCAAAAAAAGGCACACCACCATTGTTGGTGGCATTTAGCATGTACTGTGTTAGAGGGGTTACATCAAATGTTCACTGTGTCAAATGGGACCAAGCTATCAATCAATATAGCATGTTAAACTTTAGTGTATGACAATTGAAGGTCTTCTCTCAGGGAGCCATGCCGGTATCCCGTAAGGTTAATCCATTTTATCTTCCTACCTGTGAGCTGGAAGAGGATGAGAGATGTAAGCACCCTTTGAGATATTTTGTATGCTTTGCAATCAACACGGTTTCAGTCAGTTAGCTTATCAGTTTTGTTATCACCTACCATTCTGTCTTCTGGGCCCAAAATTAAAAGAAAATACAATTGCAATTGTGTTTCTATTGTATTGTATTGTATTGTATTG